GGTTGGGGGGGAGGGCTGAGGGGAGGCATGAAAACAAATGGCTGCTACTGCAGCCATGCTATCACAATCATGCAACAACCGGAAGTTGCCACTGCTTCCATGCCCCAGACACTTAGCTGCATCCTTATGCTACTGGTTCTAGTGGCAACACATAGGGGATGCACGGGGGTGCGCATGCACCCCTGAGAGTGCTGGTGGACCCCCTGACTGGCCGTGCTCACTGCTTAGGCAACAGGATTGGCCATGGGGAACCCCTGCCTGATCAGTGAGATCAGCTGCGGGTGGACTCCCCCCGGTCACTGACTGGTCACTGGGGAGGGGGGTGGGGGGCGGCATGTGCCCCGCTTACTAAGGTGGCACCAGTCACCTATGACTGGTTCTGAATGTTTTACCTTTCATTGGAACTGATGTCCATGTGTTTTGGTGTTACAAGGCTTGGAAAACAAATGTTTCCAACATACCCTCTCTAACCTGTTCATTATTTTATGGACAGCTATCAAATACCCTCTTATTTGCCTTTTTTGTATGTGAAGAATTCCAGTCTTTTTAAATTTTTCTTCATAATATACTCTTCATATAAAAAGATGTTTCTGTTAGGGGTAGTAGTGGAAATGATTACTGCTGTTGTCATTGTTACTACCAAACCTTGATGAAATTTCCTGAGTTGTGGGAGGTTAGACTATGTGATCATAGTTGTCCATTCTGGATTTTCAATCTATTCATATGTTTCTAACTTTTGAGAAGAAATATTTGCAGGCAGGCAAAAATTTGTACCCAAAATATTTTGGGTGAAACACCAATTTATTGATAATGAAACATTTTGTGAATAGGTGCTTATTTTGCCATTCTTCTCATGTAAAATAAAAATAAAATGTTGAAAAATTTGAACCAGCTTGTCTTAATTTTTTCCAAGTCACATCTTTGTTTTTTTTTTTTTCCTTTGGCTTGAAATGTGGTTTGTTTTATTTAATGTACCCTTTCATTTTGTTAAAAAGCTTAAAAACTCAGGGTCAAAATACAACATTTGGATTTGGTCAAAAAAAAAGTTTCATAGAATCACAGGGTTGAGAGGGACCTCAAGGGTCATGTGGTCCAATCCATTGTACAGATGCAGGAACACCTTTCCTAAGTTGCTATGGTTCAGTGGTTTCTCACGAGGAGGGTAGTAAAGCACTGGAACAGGTTACCCAGAGAAGTTGTAGAATTACCATCCTTAGACGTATTTTAGACCTGGCTAGACAAAGCCATGGCTAGCATGATCTAGGTGGGGATGGTCCTGCTTTGAGTAGGGGGTTGGACTAGGGGGGTCGAGTAGGGGGTTGGACCTCCTGAGGACCCTTCCACATCTAATTTTTTATGATTCTGTGGTTTCATTAGTCTTTCTCATATCTATGTTGCACTTGCAGATCATTATCACTCAGCATTTGACCAATATGCCTCTTTCTCCTCCTCCTCCAGATGCCAATTGTAAGGGACCCGAACAGGAAGACCAGCCTGGGCTAATTGCCTGGGAAGTCACACCTGCATTCATGGGAGGATTTAGGATTTTGAAAAGGGGCATGCAGTTAGCGTGGTGCATCACCACATATAACACAGGACATATTTTTCTCCAGATAAAAAGTAACTAGAAGCTGTATTAATATGCTAGGCTCCCAGTGCTAGCATATTATTCAGGTGACTAGCAAAGCAAAACCAGATATAACTTAATTGGAATGTGTACTCATTTTCTAGCTCATATATTAAATAAAAAAACCCAAACACAATGAAGTAGGGGTAGGCAGAAATAGCCCCAAATATTGTTTTAGTAGTCCTGTAGTCCTTATAGTAAAATGTATAGCTTTTACTCAGACACAGTTCCTTGGGTGAATCTGATATCTTTTATTAGACCAACCCAAATAGCTGGAAAATAATTATTAAGCAAGCTTTCAGGTTCAAAAACCCTTTGTCAGGCTAAGGAAGTTTCAGCAGTTGGTGTGTACTCTTCCTGGATGGAATGAAAAGTAAAGAAGCCAGCGGCTGGGCTGGGATGCATACAAGACAGGTAGTCAGTGAAGATGTAGATTGAGGAGTCAATGGGTGAGAGACAGGCTGGGGGGGAGGGGGGAAGAGAGAGAAGGGGGATGAAAGTGGAGAGATACCTGGGGAGTCAGATGTCAGGCAGGTTATGATGTGTCATAAATCCAATGTCTATATTTAGTCCATGATTTTTAGTATCCAGGAGGTTGATGAAGTGGAGTTCATAGGCTTGTCTCTGGGAAGTGTT